TTTTTTCTTACCTTTTAGTTTCTTCATTAAAGTCCTTCTTTATTTTGGAAATGTTTTTCCTCAGAGCTTCTAAATCACTGGAACTTCTATTCACAGTGGCTTTTAAAGAATCCAGCTATTTATTAGTTAATAGACAGAAGTTACATATTTATATCTTATAAATTAATTTCACTTTTGAGAAGTTCTACCCTGTCACTTAGAATACGTTCTAGCAACCTACACTGCACCCATAAAATGCAGTAAATGCTATAAATGACACATGTTAAGTTGTTCTTATTGAACTGATAAGTAATTTTAAAGGATTTGCTGCATATAACTAGAAAATTTGCAGAAAGCCAAACTTCACTAGGCCTGCTCAGTAAGAACATATCCAATAGTCAACATAAGTTAATGTCTGTATATAAAGTGCTCACAAAATCCCTAACAATTCTAATTGGATTTGGGCAAATCTTAATAACATACATTTCACCACTTAATCTAAATTGTTAGAACAGAACACCCAAAACCTGGACTTCTCCACTATTAAGAACAGTGCCAAGGAACTCTGGTAGCGTAGTGGTTATGAGCTGGACTGCTAATCTCACAGTCAGCAGTTTGAAACTACCTGTGGTTCTGTGGGAGAAAGATAAGGCTTTCTGCTACCATAAAGATTTGCAGCTTCGGAAACCCTAGACTGGGTTGCTATGAGTCAGAACCAACTCCACGGCACATCACCACCACCACCACCACCAAGAAGAGTGGCAAACTATTAATGAAAAGTAGGGCTAACTATCCCAGCATAAGAGTAAGGATGCATCATCCTAGTGTTTGAAATTTTTTAAATTTAGAAAATCATTAATTCCCTTTCACACCAAAGCTTATACAAGAATGTTCAGCCATTACTAATAATAGCCAAAAAAAAAAAAAAAAAAGGAAAGCAACCCAAATGTCTGTCAGTTGATGAACAGATAAACAAAATATGGTACATTTATGCAAAAGAATGGAGTCCTGGTGTGGCGCTGTAGGATAAGCACTGGATCTCAAGGTCAGTTTGAAGGTCACCTGATTCAAACTCACCCACGACTCCTCAGAAACCTTTTACAGGGAGAGTCGCTGTTAGCTGGCACTGACTTGATAGCACTTGATAACAACAGTGCAAAACAATATTTTTCCACATAAAAAAAGACATACTGATATATGCTATGACATAGATGAACCTTGAAAATATTATACTAAGTGGATAACAAAAGACCACTTATCATTTCATCTATATGAAATGTCCAAATTACTGTTGTCGAATTGATTCCAATTCATAGAGACCAATTCATAGGACAAAGTAGAACTGCCCCAAAGGGTTTCCAAGACTGTGATCATCATCACATCGACGGCCACATCCTTCTCTCACAGTCCTTTCTAATAGAAGTCGAGTGCTTCATCACTGTGCCACCAGGGTTCCTATGAAAAGTCCAGTACAGGCAAATTCATAGGTGAGTAGCTGTCAGGAACTGGGAGAAGAAGGAAATGGAAAGTGACTGCTAGTGGGTATGGGATTTCATTTTGAGGTGATAAAAAATATTCTAATAGTGGTGATCATCCCAAAGCTCCGTGAGTATAATAGAAATCACTGCAGTGTACACCTTAAAAAAGTGAATGATAGTATATATAGGGATAAAGTACGACTGTAGGAATGAATGAACAAACAAATGAATCTCTACATTCTTTTCTGCACTTGGTGAAAACTGTGAGAACTTTTTAAATGAGGGATCAGTAGTACCAGACAATTCAGGCAAGAAATTCACTTATTTTTTAGGAGCTTGTATAATTGTTCTCATTTGAAATTAAAAATAAAAATTATTTCCTTTTCTACCAGAGATTAAAAAAAAAAAAAAATGCCCTGCAATACCTTACAGAATTAAATGCTTTACAGTATTCTAATTTTCCATCTAAACAGGGGAAACTTTAGATAATGTGGCCTTAACGCACATAATTCATAAAGAATCCTTTTCATTACTGATTAAGGGAATCATTTACTTTCCCTAGGATAAGCACTGGACTTTCCAGCCACTCCTTGGAAGCCCTATACAGAGTCACCATGAGTTGGAGCCAACTTGATAGCACTTAACAACAACAAAGGAGCAGTGGTGGTGCTATGGCTTAGGTATTAGGCTGCTAACTGAACAGTTCAAGCCCAACAGATACTCTGTGGGAGAAAGATGAGGCGGTGTACTAGCTAAATATCTCGTCTTGGAAACCGTAAGGAATAGCTCTATACTATGTCCCCCAGGGTCTCTATGAGTCAGAATCAACTCAGTAACAGTGAGCTTTTAAAAATTTTTAAATTTACTTTCCGTATGGAATAATCTAGTTAGCATGTATCCTACAAAAGAAGAAAAGAAAAAGGCAAGACAATTTTTGCTTCAAGATATATTCACCACTACATTGGCCTACTACCAGAATGAAATATTACTCCTAGATAAGGAGAGAAACTGAATTTAAGAAGGTAACTCCACCAGGAATTTGAGACTTCAGTACATACAAACACAGCACTGAAAAGACATTTCCAAGCATCTGATAATATTGTATCATTATTCATCTTAACATCTGCCTATTATCTTGTCAATTTCCACTACTGGGCCAACAAGTAACATCAAGATAAATGGAGAAAAGATTGAAGTTGTCAAAGACTTCATTTTGCTTACATCAACCATCAACACTCTTGGAAGCAGCAGTCAAGAAATCAAACAATGTACTACATTAGGAAAATCTGCTGCACAAGACCTCTTTAAAGTGTTCAAGATTAAAGATGTCAGTTTGAGGACTAGGGTGCACCTGACCCAAGCCACAATATTTTCAATAGCCTTATGTGCATGTGAAAGTTGGACAATGAATAAGGAAGGCTGAAGAAGAATTGATGCATTTGAGTTGTTGTGTTGGGGGAAACTATTAAAAGCATCATGGGCTACCAGAAGAACAAACAAATCTGTGTTGGAAAAAATACAGACAAAATGCTTCTTAGAACCCAGGATAGCCAGATTTCATCTCGCATACTTTGGACAAATTATCAGGAGGGTCCAGGTCCTGCAGAAAGACATCATACTTGGTAAAGTGGATGGTCTGTGAAAAAAAGGAAGAACCCCTAATGCGATTGATTGACACAGTGGCAGCAGCAATGGGCTCAAGTGTAGCAACGATTGTGAGATTAGCACAGGACCAGACAGTGTTTCGTTCTGTTGTACATAGTGTTGCTGTGAGTTGGCACTGACTCAATGGCACCTAACAACAATAATTACCTCATCATTATAATTTACCATTAAGACCCTTGGAGAGTCTTTGCCTTGGGGTCCCTCACAGGACTCCATGTGTGGCAGTCAGGTCAGGCACATTATAAACCCCACCAGTGATGTGAATGGTGCCCCTGGTACCTTCACCCTTGAGGAGCTCAATCTGAGTATTTTAAGAGTTCCAAAACATGAAAGTACATAACAAAAAAAACTAGACGGCAGTTCCTTAATCAAAGGAAAGCCCTTGTTTTATTATTTTACTAATTTATCATGAAGACACAGACCAGTCATTTAAATTGACGTACCTCATCCTTCAGCTGATTTCTAGTAGTTTCATGGCGCTGATATTCTGTCCTACATTTTAACACTTTACGATCAGCAGCAGAAATTCTTTTCTCATACTCTGTGTTATTTCCAATCTCACTCTCCAAAAACTTTATCTTTTCCTTAACCAAACTCTCTTTTTCTCTTGTTTCCTGCTTTATCCTTGATAATTCCTGGGATTAAAAAATATGTTTAGTTAAATATATGTTTAATATGGAAAACATAGTTAAAACAAAATAGATTTAGTTATAATTTTTCTATTACTATTTGTTGTTGTTGTTAAGTGCCATCGAGTCGGTTCCGACCCATAGCGACCCTGTACAGGGTTTCCGAGGGTGTAAATCTTTACGGGAGTAGAGAGCCTCATCTTTCTCCCACGGAGCGGCTGGTAGTTTCGAACCGCTGACTTTAAGGTTCGCAGCCCGATTCGTAACCACTACGCTACCAGAGCTATTACTATAAGATATACTATAATGGAGTCTTGATGTGGTGCTTTGGGTTAATGAGCTGGACTGCAAAGTTTGTTTGCACAGCAAAGATGGTGGTTCAAGCTCACCAGCCGCTTCTGGGAAACCCTATACAGGGTCAATATGGATCAGAACCCACTCAAAGGCAATTAACAAAAATATAAGATATTTTACTTGAATAAAACAAAATATTAATATGTTACACACCAATATGTTTATATTTTAAAGACATAATAGATTTTCTTTCATCTATATAGGACTTTGCTGAAAATACAAGACAAATAGTTAAGCATTTATAAATGAAAGGTGGCACAGAGAAAGCATCTGACAATATTGAACATTTTTTTACATTGGATTTCAATGCAATTTTCCAATGCAATCCTGTGCAAATTTCACAGGATTCTTTTTCATGTTTTGAAAATAACATCTTAGTTATTGATTTCAGTAGGAACATATTTACTCATATCTATTACTAGTGCTGTAAGGAGCTCTGGTAGCGTAGTGGTTACGAATCGGGCTGCGAACCTTAAGGTCAGCGGTTCGAAACTACCAGCCGCTCCGCGGGAGAAAGATGAGGCTTTCTACTCCCATAAAGATTTACACCCTCGGAAACCCTGTACAGGGTCGCTATGGGTCGGAACCGACTCGATGGCACTTAACAACAACAACAACATTACTAGTGCTGAGTATATGAAGACAAAATATGCAAAGTATATTAACTGAGATGTGGATAAAATGTAGGATGGAAGAGCATGGTTGGGGAGGGGATAGATTAAGAATGATGAGGTACAAATGACAGCAATGAAGCCAAAAGGTGTGGGTTAGGATCAAATGTGAAAAAACTCAAATGCCATGTATGAAAAGGGTCAGCTTTTATGCATTGTAGAACAAAGAAGATATTTACGTTTATGGAAAAAAAGATCAGATGTGGTTTTTACAAGTGATGCTTGTTTTTACTAGAGGGCAAAGTACATGATTCCCTTAATTAGCAATGAGAAGGATTCTTTATGAAGTATGGATAAATTGGAGGAAGAAAAAAATCACCCTGAAATATACTTATTTCAAGTTTTCCAAAATAGAGTCCTGCCAACCAACTAGTCCAGGAGCTAGGATAGGGAGGGAGGAGGCACTATAAAATCACGATATTTTAGAAATGTTTCATGTAATAGTATACATATTAGCATACAAAATGGATATGTTTCTGAGATGGTATGCATTTATAAAAAACAAAAACATTTAAAAATTTTTAATTCAGTATTTCCATCATTCTCTGTAACAATTATATAGCATTCATTAAGTTCAGCATTCTATACACTGTATTCATTCAACCAAAAACCAAGACAAAACTTTCTAAATTTATGTAGATCAGATGATCATTTAGACTTTCCTGCCATGGGTTAGTCTTCAAACTGACATCTTTGTGCTTGAACATCTTTGCAATAAGTTGTTTGATTTCTTGACTGCTCCTTCCATGATTATTGATTGCGGATCCAAGCAAAATGAAGTCTTCGACAACTTCAATCTTTTTCCATTTATCATCTGGTATTTATTGATCTAATGGTGATTGGTCGAGAAGGAATTTTGCTTGAGGTGCAATCCATACTAATAGCTGTAGTCTGATCTTCATCCGTAAGAACTTCAAACCCAGTTCTCTTTCAGCAAGCAAGGTCAAGGTTGTATCAACAGCATACTGGAAATTTTTAATCAGTCTTCCTCTAATCCTGATTTCACCTTCTTCTTCATATAATCCAGCTCCTTGGATTATTTACTTAGTATACTGGCTGAATAAGTACTGTGAAAGAAGATAGTCCTGATGCATACCTTTCCTGATTTTAAATCATTTAATATCTACTTGTTCTCTTTGAATGGCTGCCTCTTGGTTTATGTACAGATTCCTCACAAGCACAATTAAATGTTCTGGAATGCCCATTATTTGCAATAGTTATCCACATCTTGTCATTATCCACACAGTCAAAAGCCTTTGTATGGCAAATAAAGCACAGGTAAACATCTTTCTGGTATTCTCTGCTTTTAGCCAAGATCCATGTGATATCAGCAATGATATCCCTAGTTTTATGTCCTCTTCTGAATCAGTCTTCAGTCTCTGGCAGTTCTCCATCAATGTATTGAGAATAGAAAGAGGGACTTACTACCATCAAGACAGAAGAGCCAGGAGCAGAGTATGTATTTTGGACCTGTACTTTGAAGCTCTGGCATCCTGAAGAGGACTGATACTAAGGTGTATGGACATATCTCCAAGTAATACTGGGGCTACAGATGCTCAAGGGAGACAACATTCCCCAGAGCTGGCAAACAGAAAGCCTTCCTCCAGAAACTACACTCTGAATTTGGACTCCTGGGCTCCTAAACTATAAGAGAATAAGTTTCAGGCTTGTAGTATTTAAAGGCATACACTTGTGGTATTTCTCTAAGTAACTCAGAAAAATGACCAGAATTCCTTAGTCAAGAACTTACTGAAAAGGCAGGAATTGTTTTTGAGAAACAGGGAAATGGGTCTAATCTCAACTTAGATTCCCTTGTGGTATGCTAGCATTAGCTCTCACTGGCTCACTAGAGCCGATTTGCACATCTCTTCTTAACTCTGTGATTAGTGGTGTCATGTGGAAGTTAAAAAATAAACAGAAATGGTACAAATCAGGTTTCTGTTAGTTTTCAGGGAGCTGGTTACTACACACTTAGAAACTTGATGTTATTGTTAGGTGCCATTGGGTAGGTTCCAACTCTCACTGACTATATGCACAACAGAACTAACACTGCCCAGTCCTGCAGGATCCTTACAATTGCTATTAAGCTTGAGCCCAATCTTGCAGCCACTATGTCAATTAAATTTCATTGAGGGTATTCCTCTTTTTCACTGTCCCTCCACTTTGCCAAGTATGATGTCCTTCTTCAGGGACTGGTCCTTCCTGATAATATGTCCAAAGTACAAGAGATGAATTCTCGCCATTCTCACTTCTAAGCAACATTCTGGCTGTACTTCTTCCAGGACAATTTGCTTGTTTTTCTGAAAGTCTATGGTACTTTCAATGTTCTTCAACAATATAATAATTCATACCACTTCTTAAATGGAACCACCTCTTAGCACCCTCCCTGGTCTCTGACAACACAGCTAACCTGGAGCTATCAAACTGTAAATAAGGAGCCACATTGAATGTGAGTGGAGTCTCTGAGTGGTGCAAATGGTTATGCACTTGCTGCTAACAAAAAATTTGCAGTTCCAGTTGACCCACAGACACTGTGGGAGAAAAAACCTGATAATCTACTTCTAAAAAGCAGCCACTGAAAACCCTCTGTATTACAAGTCTATTCTAACATATTGCCATAATCAGAGCTGATTAGATACCGGCTGGTTTGGATTGGTGAATATAAGCAGGAGGACACTAGTTACAGATTTTGCCAAATCAGCAGTCAGAGTCAACTTGGCCATGGGGTTGTATAAGAATGATCCTCTGATGTTGGTTGCAGAACTGAAATTTTGGATCTAGCACATTTCATTCATATAAAGAAGGAAGTCAAAAGCTTGACTTTTGAAAACAATAAAAAATTAAGCAACAGACGCTAATGTCAGAATTAAAATGAAGAAGATTTCAGGTAAGAATGGTTCCTCCTTTTCTCTCTCAGTAGCCATAGCTTATTCTATTGCTAGATGTTGGTTACTTACAGGAAATTAAAAGAATCTCAAGCAAACTACATCCAGATATAATAATTCCAAACCCTCAGTGGGCTGAGCTTTGGCTTTTTTTATGGAACAGATTTAGAATGGAATTTAACACTGCTCTCTCTCTCCTTCTGTGCTCTTCAATTCCTCTCCTTTTAAACTCCACTTAATCTTCTCACTTTTACTCCCAGCAAACTATTATTTCATCCTTAAATGAATTCCCAAAAGAGTTCTAAATTACCGCTAAAAGTAGGAGGAGTTAGCCGTAAGTCAGTTAAATGCATAGCCATTGAGTCAATTCTGAATTATAGCAACTCTATAGGACAGGGCAGAATTAAGCATAGGGTTTCCAAGCCTGTAAATCACCACAGAAGCAGACTACCACATCTTTCTCCCATGGAGAGGCTAGTGGGTTCAAACAATGGGCCTTTAGGTTAATATTTAAACACTTAATTAGTGCACCCTCAGGGCTCCAGTTCTATGTATACCTGTGCTATATTCCTCCGCTTCTGAACTCCTACCTCATTATTGGTGCCATAGCTTCAAAAGTGAAACTGTATTTCAATTGCATAAATTGAAAGGAGTTTTGTTGTTGTTGTTGTTTTCAGTTCCTCCGTCATTGTGTCTTGGCCAACTGTGAGGCTCAGTTCCCTACATCTATAAATTACTATCAACTAGCACATAAATTAAATCCATGGCACAAATGTTGGACAACATTTGTAGATTGTTGGTGTTGTTAAGTGCCGTTGAGTCGGTTCTGACCCATAGCAACCCTGTATAGGGTTTCCAAGGAGTGGCTGGTGAGTTTGAACCACTGACCTTGTGGTTCAAACTGACTTTGCAATCCAGCGCATTAACCCACAGCACCCATACCAGGACTCCATTTGTAGATTAGGACATCTATTTAACTATAGTAAATTATATAGTGATTTTATTTTGTTCTGTATTTCAGAGATGACAGGATACCATCTTCAAGGATTATAATACCATAAATAAATAATCTTCATAAAAATCACACCTCTAAATAGAATCAACTTTGAAAAACATTTACCAAAAAAGTTGCAGCCTACTAAAGTGATTTTCAAACAGCAATACACTGGAAATGAATGAGTTAAATACAAAAGAAAAAATGCAGTTGAACATTACAAGGACTAGACAACTACCTTACCATGGCACAGTTATCTATGTCTTGATCCCTTTTCTGCATCTGCTCTATGGTGTTCTCCCACTGTTTAATGAGTTCTTGTCTTTCGTTATGTATCCTACGAAAATCTTGGGCTGCTTTGTCCAATTCTAACTGTCAAGCAGAGAGCAAACAATATTCCTGTTCATTTAAATGCACCTGCAAAAACCATGCTGAAAATTAAATAAAACTCTTCATTTAAACCAACCTGTGCACTTAGAGTCTCTGTAAGTTCATTGTCAAGTACCTTTTTTTTCTGATTACATTCCACAGTCAGTCTTTCTAATTGGAGGGTCAGTGCCTATGAAGTAGTTACACATAAAACATTTATAATTAACTTCAAAGCTGTTAGATATCATGTTTAACATGGAAAAATATATTATTACAGTATGCTTATCTATAACACTTATTTGCTACATAAAATAATTATGTTTTCCTTATTAATGTATATTTTCTTTATTTTTTTTGCCCAAAGAGCCCAATATATTTGAACACATCTGCAATGAAAACTCAAATTGTTTATAAAATGTATTTTAATATTTTAAAGTAAATTATAAAAATATTAAACTATAATTTGTTATTTTAAAAAATATAAAACCTAATCATTGCAATGAAACAATGAGTGTAGCATGTAAACTAATCACTCAATTCACAATAAAAACTTAATATATATATATGTATATATGAAAAACAATAACAACAAAAAAACATTGTCATCAAGTCAATTAAGACTCACGACTCACAGCGACCCAATGGGACAGACTACAACTGCCCCCTATATGGTTTCCAAAGTTGTAAATCTTGACTTGAGCAGACTGACACACCTTTCCTCCATGAAGCGGCTGGTGGGTTCAAACCACTGACCTTGTAGTTATCAGCTGAGTGCTTACCCTCTGTACTACCAGTGTTGCTCTTTGAAAATAATACATTTGGTATAAAACCTACTAGAAAATAATATATTTTAATAATAATTTTATTAACATTGCCAGATTTATTTATAAACAGATTATAAGTGGTGCTCAGAATAATATATCAAATAATCACTACTACCACTGTAAGAAATCAGAAAAATAACATACAACATTCACGATATATTTGGACAAAAATAGTTAAAAATATTTATAAATAGACACTTTCTTTTCTGAAATACTTTCAAGAACCCCCTAAATCAGGATTCTTAACCTAAGGTTTCTGAGTTCCTAAACGGTCAAAGGACTTCAGAAGAAAATTCTGGGTAATAGAATACAGTCATTTTTCTAAATAAAGAATTCCTACTTTTGTTAGATTCTGAGGGAAAAAAAGTTTAGGAGCTACTGTTTTAAGTACTCTGGTTCAAGCTCACCAGCTTCACCTTGGAAACTCTATACAGGGTCACTTAGAATCAGAACAGACTCAATGACACTTAACAACAACAAGATTAGGAAAAAAGGTTGACATACTACAGATTCAGAGACAGCCTTAACAGTTAAAACTTATATTTCTCACCCTGATTTTATTATCGTCTTGTTGTGCATATTTCTGAAGGGTGAGGGCATCACTGTCTTTATGAGCTGATTCTTCTAACCAGGCCTCCAGAGCCTGCTGGTCCCAGTTCATCTGACACTTCAGACCGTCCAATTTTTGAGTAGTTTTAAATATGCTGTTCTAATTTCCAAAGAAAAAGAGATTATAAAACATTTCCTATGACCATACAAATTAAATTGTTGTTTTTGTTAAGTGCCACTGAGTGTATTCCCACTCATAGTGATCTTGTATAGGTTTTCTGAGGCTTTGAATCTTCGAAGGAGAAAAAAATTGTCTTTCTCCCGCAGAGCAGCTGGCAGGCTTGAACCATGGACTGTGTGATTCACAGTTCAGTGCTTATCTATGGAACCACCGTGCTCCAATTGATGGATTCCTGGTGTGGCACTGTAGGATAAGCACTGGACTGCAAGGTTGGTTTGAGCTGCAAGGTCAGCAGTTCACACTCTACCAGCGGCTCCTCAGAAACCCTATATAGGGTTGCTATGAGTAGGAACTGATTCGACAGCACTTAACAACAACATACATATTAAAACAAACTATGACATTATGTACAACCAAAATCAAAACCAAAAAATCCCATTGCCATGGAGTCAATTCAGACTCATAGAGACTCCAAACAGCAGAGTAGAACTACCCCAGAGTATTCCTGAGGCTATAATTTTTTATGGTAGTACATTGTCACATCTTTCTCCCATGTCAGATGACTGGTTCAAAATATCACGGTTTCAGTTAACAGTCAAGCTCTTTAACCACTGTGCCACCAGGACCCCTTACAAGGGTAACTCTTTGGTCTTTAACACTTGAAATAAAGAGGTCTTGTGCAGCATATTTGCCCAATGCTAAATGCTGTTTGATTTCTTGACTTCTGCTTTCATAAGGTTGATTGTGGATCCAAATAAAATGAAATCTTTGACAACTTAAACCTTTTCTCTATTTATCATGATGTTATTTATTGGTCCAGTACACATTTTTGAAGCAATGAAACCAGCCTTTACTGGCATTCAAGTGCTCACAGCAGTCTTGCTGTTCCTTCTTGTTTTAAACAAGGTTGTGCATTCTCATTTAAACCATATAAACTCATATAAATCCTCTTCTGAATTTGTTCGATCCAAATCATCAATAATTTCTCCATTCCATGGATTGGCCCTTAACTGACTTTCTTTGTTAAAATTGATAATTTTATGCCTACTGCCGCAAAATCATCTTCTTACAGTTAATAACGGTTGAAACAGTCAACTATGACTATTTTTCCTATCATGCTATTCCACTAACTTTCTTTTCATTGTCATATGCCTTATTAATCTTCATCTTTATATCATTTCTAGAGCCTTTGTTACCGTTTTTGGATTGGAACTTTCAGTGGAATAACTTCTCCTGCTAGACAGATTGTTGGGATACAAGCAGTGCAGGGGTTACAGTTTGAGAAACTTGAACAACTTGGTTCAGATTAACAACTGATACTTCATATGGTACAAAATGCTACATCCGATCATGCTCCAGGCTTGGTCTACAATGAAGTTTGCTTCAGTGTCATAACAACGAAGTCAGAGTTGTCAGGCACATGTGCAGTTTAATTGTTGTAGGTTGCTACAGGTTCACATTGTCTATCTTTCTATCCGTTGTGACTCCCGACATTCAATGTAGACCACTACTATCCTGTAGTGTTTTGAACATTAAAACGTTACATTGAACATCTATGAGTCAGCATCTGAGAATAATAAACTCATCAAACTATGCACTGCAGCATTAGCTAAGGTGGCTTAAAAAGCTTAGTAGGAAAATGGAATTAAAAGATGATGGAATTTTTCCACGGACTTTTTGAAACCCCATGATCTGTAGTACCTATCTGATAAGATGTATCAAACAAACAAATAAAACAGTCTTAAGTGCTTTTTGTCAGAACTCAAATGCACTGTAAGTTGGGGACTACTTGTAGTTGAGAGTCTAACCTTTATGCCACCCAAGGACTCATCACTTACATATATGCACATATAAAGAAAAGGTGCTGGTAATCATAATTTGTAAAAAGTCCACAAATCAATTAACTAAACTGAAAATGAGAGAGAAATTGGTTTAAAGCAGTTTAATATTGGAGTACCTGGTTGCTGCAAATGGTGAATGTACTCAGCTGCTAAACAAAAGAATGACCGTTCGAGTGTACCCAGAGACATCTTGCAAGAAAGGTCTGGCAACCTTGTGATGGTGGTGGTTGTGTGCTACTGAGTCATAGTAACCCTGTATATGGCTCCGAGGCTGAAAAGCTTGACTTCCAAAAAATGGGTCATACACTATCCTCACAATCAATGCTAAATTTGAGCTCATTGTTGTAGCTACTGTGTCAATCTATCTCATTGAGGGTCTTCTTTTTCACTGACCCCTACTTTACTAACCAAGATGTCCTTCCTTCTCTAGATAATATGACTGTCTCATCAGTCTTTCTAAGGGGCATTCTGGCTGTACTTCTTCCAACATAGATTTGCTTATTCTTGTGGCAGTCCCTGATATATTCAATATTTGTCACTAATACCATAATTCAAAGGCATCAATTTTTTGAGTCTTCATTATTCATCGTACAGTTTTCGCATGCATATGAAGGAATCTCGTGGTTTGAGTCAGGCACCCCTTGGTCTTCAAAGTAACATCTTTGGTTTTCAACACTTTTGTTGGTGTTAAGTGCCGTCAAGTCGATTCTGACTCACAGCAACCCTGTACGTGGTTTCCGAGGAGTGGCTGGTGAGCTTAAACCACACACCTTGCGATTTAAACCAATCTTGCCGTCCAGCGCATTAAACTGCACTAGGGCTCTTTTTGACATTTTAAAGAGGTATTTTGCAGCAGATTTGCCCATGCAACATGTCATTTGATGTCTTGACTTCTGCTTCCAATGAATTGTGGATCCAAGTAAAATGAAATCTTTGCAACTTCAACCTTTTTGCCATTTATCATTTGTTGCTTATTGGTCCAGTTGTGTGAATTTCTGTTTTCTTTATGTTGAGGTGTAATTCATACTAAAACGATAGACTTTGATCTTCATTGGGAAGTGCTGCAAGTCCATATTGGTAAAATAATGTGAAGGGTAAACATTTTTAATGAAAGATAAAATTCAAAACAAAAAGCAAATTTTTAATTGTGGCATTTACAAATGTAGCACTTACTCAAACCAACTATACCTTCTATTTCATAACAGGCATCTAGAACGGTGCTTTGACCAGACTAAGGAACTCAAAGTAGTTCGTGAATGAAAACTAAGAAAAGAAATGTAACATTCTTATTACTGCCTGATTCAAATCACAGTTGCTTTTTCATTTCATTGTCCTATAAAACAACATAAGAAAATGACAGGAAACTAATGTCTTTCCTATACACAAAAATCAATGCTTGCTTGGTGAAGGAAGAGGGGGTTGTAGCACAAAATTTTAAGTAACATTTCAATACATACTTCCTTATCATTCTTCTTCTCCCGTATTGAAGCTATCTCATTTTCTAGTCGTTGGATTTCATCCTTCACTCGTCCCAACTCTCTTTCAGCAATGGCCTTAAAATGTTCTTCACTTTCAATCTCATGCTCCCTGGCTTTGCAAAGAGACTATAGAATAATAATAGGATAGAAAGTCTTTTAAGTTTTTAACATTATAAAATATAATAATCTATTCAACAATAAGTTTCTGAAAAAATTATTATATTATTATTAATCCCACTACTCTGAAACCTATAACACATTAGACTTAGTGACTGCCTTGGAGTTGGTATTGTTCACTTATAAGAATGTTAGTTCATAGACTTTACTAGGAAATATGGTTCTCAACAGGTTTTAGATATTATGTTTACTGAGCGAAACACAAGAAAACCAAAGCTTATAAAGTGACACTTAAAAACTATTAACTCATAGCTTATTTGAAAATTATTTTCAATTGGTTAAAAACAATAGGGAAATTGAATTATTATGTGAACTAATCACATATTCTAATTTAAAGAGATAATTTTGAAATAATTATTTCAACGTTAACAGTTGTAAATATTTCCTCAAATGTATTAACATCTACTCATGCCATTGTATAAAACTTAACTTTGTAATTCAGCACTTGTTGGCTAAAAGCAACCTTGCAGTGTTAACACAAACAGTGCTAATCACACAGTATTAACATTGTAAAAATTGCAATAGGTTATTGTCTTTTGTTTTTATTATCCTATTTTATCAAGCTTGACTATAATGAGATATGCATACAGTATCTATGTCTCAACGCTGCAATTCAGTGTTTTTATAAAACTAAGGTAAAGAAACTGTTCTAAAAAGTTCAATTACACAAACAAATCAGGATTCTAGAATCCTGAGTATTGTTTCCCAGAGTTTCATTATATTTGCAACTTTCTACTAAGACATATAAACCATGAAATTACTTATTTATAGAACTATAAATTGGTTTAGATATAATTTTGTTCATTTTTAAGAATTACTTTTTCTCAGAAAGATAAACGCTCTACAAAAAACAAAATGTCATTTCAGATGGCAGTGAAGTAAACTTGCCAAGCTCCATGGTTTGCTGGGAACCATCTGGGAGTGGGGTGCTACACATGAAGAGATTGTCCATAAAACAAAAAATTACTTAATCACTCCATGTCTTAATTTTTATTATTTTGTTACAATCATTTCTGAACTGGATTAACATTTCCCTGTTGTTTTAAATAAAGCCTCTTAAATATAATTTAAGATTTTATTATCACGGGATTGTCATTACAAATGTCAATTCTTGAACTATGCTCAAACACGATGCTGCCCTAGGAAGCTACTCAAATGTATAGACTATTTGCTTCTACTCAAAATGGCCCCAGTGAGTTGTGTTGAAAAATTTAAAAACAGCTATCATTTCTCACTGCCATCATTATTTACTTCTCAATATTTTCTGCTTTATATAGTACTGTATTGGAGTCCTGGTGTGGTGCTGTGGGCTAATGCTCTGCACTGCAAAGTCGGTTTGAACCACAAGCTCATTAATCACTCCTTAGAAACCCTATACAGGCACACTATGAGTCAGAACCGACTTGATGATACTTAACAACAACATAGTACTATTGTTAGTGTGGTGGCGCTGTAGGATAAGCACTGGACTGCAAATCACAGTCGTTCCCCAGGAGAAAGATGACTTTCTGCTCCCACACAGATTTACAGCCTCAGAAACCTATTCAGGGTCACTGTGAGTCAGAACCAACTTGACAGCACTTAACAATATTACATTAGATTGTTTGAATGGTGTTTTCCCCTTTAATTTGCTTGGATTTAGTGACAGTGGGTAGTTCTTCAAAACTTTTTATCCTGCCTATTTTAAGGTTCAAGATCATGCTCATGATCGTTGAGCTATGCTAGTGTTTCCTATTCTATCTAAAAAAATCATAGCTGTATATGTACTTGAAAATGTTCAATGACTACATATAATATTGCTATTGTTAAGTGCTATGGAGTCGGTTCAGACTCATACTGACCCAGTATAGATTTCAAAGAAGCAGCTGGTGGGGTTGAACTGCTGACCATGTGGTTCACAGTCCAGTACTGATCCTACAGCGCCACACCAGGAGTAATGTACATGAATTCCAACATTACTGTACCTGTGTAAAGGCAAACTCCTGTTTAACATTCTTAAAGTGAGCAGTCATAGCGCTGATTCGATCTCCATAGTCACGCAGCTGATCTTGCAAGTCTCTTTTTTCGGTCTGAAGCACGGACAACTGCAAGTAATAAATACTTTGATTAGCCAAATTGCCACTCAGTTTTTGTCATATGGAAGGACTTCAAATCAGAAGAAAATTATGTGTTCATTTACTTTGCTTCTTTCCATGTCCATCTGAACTTCTAAAATCTACTGATTTTTAAATGTTATAAGATAGTGTTGCAATTGGGAGATTACTGTGGAAATTCTACACTGTACTGCACAGAATAGAAATCTCTCTCAGAATTACAGCAGCAGCAAGAAGGGATCCACTTGCTAAAATGCATTTTTTTTCCATACAGTGCACACTGTGTTTTGAGAGGGGAAAAAATGAGATTCTATTCCATAATTAAATCAGAAGATCTGTAAGTAAGGGAAATAAGAGTACAGCAATAAGATGTTACAAAAACACAGAACATAAATGGAAATTTGAATAGTGGTTGGACACCAGGCATTATTTCTCCTCCATGAGCCACTATAAAAAAAAATCTACAGATTTAGTCTATGCCTCACAAAATAGAACTGACTCTCAAGAGCTTAGAACTTGTTTTCTTGCCTTTCTTTTTTGGGGTAAAAATATATATGTTGCTGTTGTTGTTATGTGCCATGGAGTCGGTTCCGACTCATAGTGCCCT